TTGAAAAGATGAAAGACCGAGAAGCCTTGTTTAATGAATTTGTGGCTGCTGCTAGGAAGAAAGAGAAAGAAGATTCGAAGACCAGAGGTGAGAAGGTAAGATGGTTTTAGTTCCAGTGGTGTGATTGATGGGAGTGTGAATGGGAAAGGACTGTGCTGTTGCTATGTTTGTGACCTCATTCATGGGCATAAATAAGGACCTACATTGACTGTTCTTTTAACTTTTATAATTATGTATGTATGTATGTATTCTGTCACTTTACTTACATAATGCTTATTTTAGTAGCTTCACTAAACTGTATAGTTTTGCTTTAAATTGTATTAATACTAAGATACCTGGTAAACTCAGAACAGGCTGTTAGAGCTGCCTGCTCAGTGACACCTTCTAAGATTTCAAGATTCTTTATAGGTGGTAATATTTGAATTTAAAAGAGCTTCACTATCTTTTTTGCCCTCTAAAAGATGGCATTTTAGTGACTTTCTAATCTTTCAGTAAACATATCTTGCATATAAATTATTGCTTATCAGAATTAAAGGTCAGCTATTAAAGATTAATGAATTCCAAATGTCATTTGATAGCAGTGTCAGGAGTGGAAAGGAGCTTACCACTGGGAAGGCAAACTAGTAGGGAGATGACCCCAGTGGTGTGTGAACCATCAAAACATGCAGCCACTCTCCTTAGTGCCCAGTATGCTTTGTGAATGTAGGAAAATAACCTCTGCAGCCTAATCATTCTTGACATTTAAAATTGCCTCTTGTTCTAGAAAGTTATAATATTACAAGTTCTATTAAGAAATGCTGTTTGAAGTAATACTACTCCTATTGGGAAGAAGTCTCTTTCATTCAAAATAGTAACAGTATGAGCTGAAACAGCTTTTATCAGAAATATCTGAAACTTCCTGATTATCTGATTTATTGGGCTTCCAAGTGAGTTTTTCCAGAATTGTTTCACTGTTAACTTAAAAATAAATGATTATGCTTCTCAGAGGATATGTATAAAATCAAATTCTACTACATAATTTCATATGTTGAATTAGAATTGCTACTTTTGACTTTTAGAATAACCTATTTGATTAAAGAAAACCAAGTAAATAAGTGATTGTTTGATTTTGTATGATTGCTTTTATACAAATTCAATGTATTTATCTTTGCATTTGTAACTGATTTTCTAAAGTTTTTTTTTTATAACTATTTTATGTATTCTGTTTCATAACAAGTGGATAGACTTTACAGTTTTGTGCTGTGCGGCCTGTCAATCAGTTCAGTGACAGCTGTCAATCACTGACACGCAAAGTGTTATGGGATTCCCTAGTGAGGAAAGAATTGGTATCTCTGTGTGGTGACTTTAGCCTCCCGCAGTTCCGGTACTTAACATTTTTTTAGTCTTTTTCCTTATGAAGTGATGAGAATTGTGCCCAGAATGTGTTAATTTTAAAAAAGAAATTAAATAGATATGACATCTAAATTAAGTAAATCTAATATTTAATATATTCAGCTTTATTTTACTTTGACTATAAAATCTTAATTCTCTAAATTACAGGTTTGGCTTTATACCATTACTAGATTAAAAATAAAAGACAGGAAATTGCTAAAGTGAAGCTTTCTCAGCCAATTTAAAGAATGCAGTATCAGTGACTAGGCCATCAAAGCAGAAATCTTTAAAGTAAGGGTTTAAATATAGTGGGTTTTATATTCACATTTTGAGCACATGTGATTAATGGGGCTTTATCATTTTTCTTTCATGACTTCCACTGTATTTTTTATACTGTTCTTAAGTATATTGTGTATACTTAAAAAAAAAATCACATTGTAACTGTGTAATTGAACAGCAAGAACAGTACCAGCGGCATGGTACTGGAGTCTGTTACCTTGTTCTTATTCTCTAGCTGATCTTTGTAGCATTGTGATAGTTGAATCAATAGCTGAATACCTTTTTAAAACTAATTTTGAAAACCTGTGAAGAACATTGGCTTCTGGTGAAATTCTTGTATTTCTTAAGTAGCATTTTCATGGTAAAGTCATTTTTACAGTAAGATAATCATTTTCATGTAGTTTTTACTGCTAGTTTTCCATTTTATTAAAAAAAAATACCTTTAAAAGTCTACTTATTGGCCAGGCGTGGTGGCTCATGCCTGTAATCCCAGCATTTTGGGAGGCTGAGGCAGGAGAATTGCTTGAGACTAGCCCAAGCAATATAGCGAGACCCCCATCTTTACAACAAAACAAAAAAATGGCTGGATGTGGTAATGTGCTTCTGTAGTTGCAGCTATTCTGGAGTCTGAAGTGGGAGGATCACTTGAGCCCAAATGGTCAAGGCCGCAGTGAATTGTGATGGTTCCACTGCACTCCAGCCTGGATATAGAGTGGATCCCTGTCCCAAAAAAAAAAAAAGTGTACTTATTTTGTTTACCAAAGTAGCTGTTCTCAAGCTATTTTATTGTAATATAATAACGAATTTTTATAAAATTGTGGTTCAAATAATTTACCTTTTAGAATAGCACATTTGAAGTTACATGTAATAATTCACTGTTATGAAATTGACATATTTTTCTCTTCCCTGTCTTTAAAATTTCCTGAGAGTAAATTATTTTTGTTACAGTAAGGAATGGGGAGACTAATGAGGCCTTGAATTGCAGAATGGTAAATGACATTTTTTGACATTTATGCAGCTGTCAAGACAATTCTTCTCATACGGATAACAGTCTTAGTAAGCCATTTATAACCTGTCATGGTAATATCCACAATGAAAGGAAGTTGAAGTTTAATTTTATTTAAAGTTCACTTGTTTATACACCACACATTTAGAAACCTATATGATAATCCTTACTTATAAGGTGTCATGTCTAATTTATGAAAACTATTTTAAGCTAATATAAATTCCTGTGGCTTAGAAAGATTCCTATTTGATATAACTTGCATGTTTTATTTAACATAAATTTTGTAAATTTTGCCTTCCAGTTGTCAGATGCATCTAGGAATTTCGTGTTCATCATGTCAGATACAAAGTAGACAAGATGAACAGAAAAATTTCAGTTACATCATTACAGCAGGTGGTTTCTTAATCACTGTCTGGAAATACTGGGTTGATGAGTATTTCTTATTAATTCAAAGTCAAAAGCCAAGTTTAATAGTGGAGAAACCCACAGCTGATTAGCTCTTGTCTTTAGAAACATTTCTGATGCAAATATTCTGTTTCTTATAACCTTAAAAATATTTTCCAGAAAAGACATCAACCTCTTTTTTTTTTTTTTTTTTTTTTTAGAGGCAGTTTCACTCTTGTTGCCTAGACTGGAGTGCAGTGGCGCAGTCTCGGCTCACTGCAGTCTCCCCCTCCCGGGCTCAACTGATTCTTCTGCCTTAGCCTCCCTAGTAGCTGGGATTACAGGCACCTGCCACCACACCCAGCTAATTTTTTGTATTTTTAATAGAGATGGGGTATCACCTGTTGGTCAGGCTGGTCTCGAACTCATGACCTCAGGTGATCTACCCACCTTGAAACTTTGCCTCCTAAAGTTATGGGATTACAGGCGTGAGCCACCACACCTGGCCTCAACCTCACTTTCAATCCTCCAGTAAGAGAAATGAAGTTGTAGGGGGAAATGATAGTGTTAGACTAGGCAGAAGGAATGATTCATATATTTTTGTGTACACACATTAAATCCTGATTCCCTTGATCAGGTGGGAAGGTACCACATTCAATTCCTACTGGAAGGGAGGGATTCTTAATATGGTCAGAATCCTTTGTTGAAATGACCTTGGTTACCTTGGGTATCTTCTATGTTAGGAGTGCAAAGTAGTATACATGGGATTTTAAAACTGTTAGGCCCTCAAATGTACATAAAGATAACTATCTCATTTACTCCTTTCCTCACCTATTTAAATAAAATAAATATGGTTTGGAGAGGGGTTTTAAGTAGTTGTATATGTTGATATTGAAGGAATAATATTTAATACCTTTGGTATAATATTACTAACTTTGTATTTCAGTTGTTGAGTATAATACTGGATAAACACTTACACTGAGTTTTAGAATGGTAAAGGCATACATGTTTAATGCTAAAAAGTGTAGAAGATTTGAATGCAGTTCTTTAGTAATGATTATGAACATGGAAATTATATAATTTTCTCCCATACCAAGGTGTACAACTGCCTTTTTTTCACCAAAATACAAATTTTTACCCTATTTTGATTTTAGACATTTGACAGTATAAGTTTGTAATGACTTGCAATGATTTCTAAATGTCCCAATAATATCAGTGACCAAAATTTTTACCCATTTAATTTTTTAAATAATTTTTACCATGTTGATAGTATTGTCAGCTCATAAACCTGACTCTTAGCTAAAAATAAATGCAGCTCATTGTAAATTTATATTCCCTATGAATTCATGGCAGTTCTGAGATCTAAAATTATAAACAATCTGAAAAAGCCTTTTTCTATATTTGAATAATTTCTTTATAAAATATGATTTATCTTGAATGTGGCAAATTTTAGATGAAAGCCTGTATGCTTATTGATGTTTACACTTCTAGTAAAAGAGCACTTCTGATCTTTTCTTTTTCCATGATTCATTCTACTCTAAATGAGTGCATTTTAAAAGTTATTATTCTTATATTTAAGGTAAGTAAACTTTTTTTCTAGTTGTAAATATTTAGATATGAATTTCTCATGGTACATTATTTTCCCTCCCATCCCACTACCTGTTTTAAAATACAGATTAAATCGGATTTCTTTGAACTATTATCTAATCATCACTTGGACAGTCAGTCTCGCTGGAGTAAAGTAAAAGATAAAGTAGAAAGTGATCCACGTTACAAAGCAGTAGATAGTTCATCAATGAGAGAAGACCTTTTCAAACA